GAGTCTGCTCAGATCTATGTGGAGATCTAAAGTCAGAGAGATGGTCCAGGCTGAGGTGTAGGACACCATGGCTTAAAACGGCCTGGTGCAGGCCTCCTCATCCATCAGTAAGTTCTCAGGAAAGCATCACACACTGTAAGCTGCACAGGAGAGAGCTGGAATGGTTCCAGAGCTCTTCTCTACATGCCTGAGGCCCCATCTCTCACTCAGGGGAGCTCTGTATGAGGTCAGTCTGTTACAGAGCCCAACTTAACTGAATGTTTTCCACCCAGGTGCAGATCTGAACTGCCACATGTGGACTCACCATAGTTATGGAGCATGACAGGTGTTTACAGGGAGCAGGTCAGGAGATGGGGACACTGCAGGCAGGTCAGGGTATGAAGCCTTAAATAAGAGACCAGGCCCTCACCAGCCCCAGTTTCCTCCAGCATTAAACAAACCCTGCAAGAGTGTGCATTAAAAACTGAGTAACTGAAAGGAGTTACTCACAAAATTATATATTATAGAGATAGTTTGAAGATACAATATAAACGGAAGCATTCATAAGTAAAATGAGATGTGACCCTTAATGGATATGTGGTGTCCATTGATGTCCCCAGCCACATGCATCAGAAGGAAACAGTCTGATGAACAGAGCAATAAGGAGCACAGGCAATGGGTAAAAATCACAGCTTCTTAATAACAACAACAAAGCTGGGATACAAAAAGCGCAATGGTGAATTTTATACAGTATATAATAAAGAATAAATACTGATTTTTTTTCAGTTCTTTGATGAATTTGAAGAAAAACCCACCACCAACTTCTTTTAAGTGACAAAGTTAAAGTTATCCTGAGAATGAAGCCAGACAATAATGTGTTAAAAATAATATAAATGAAAACACTCTGTTGGCTAATATTCCTACCAAACATAAACAAAAGTGTTCAGCTAAATGTTTGCAATGTTATCTCACCAACATATTCAAAATTAACCAACATAATCAACACTGGACTCAATCTCAGTGGTGCAAGAATGGTCCCTCTCTAACAAACTGTTTCCACTGGTTTTAACATGTTGTATCTTGCTATATTTTACTATATGTTATAGTATAAAGAAAAATTTTATAGGCAAGGAGATAATATAGAAACCATTGTTCATTTTCTGTTAACTGGTTCTAAATACCCTGTAATTCTTTCATTCTGTTGAATGGTTTCACACTGTCTTGATATGTTTGATGCTATTGTATACGAAGTTATACTCAAATAATTCAAGGAATGAGGCACTATGGTGACTACTATTATGTTAGATTATCTGGGAGTGAAACACAATTATGCTTAAATTGTTCCATTCTGACCAGTGTTGTTCTATTACAATATCCTCTTTTATCTGAATCTCCACACTTTTTTTAAATTAAACTTTTTTTATTTTTTTCAATTAAGGGAAAACTAAATTTAAAAATAGCGGGATATATTATAGTAACTATTAGTTTTCCTATTAACCTGATTTGAACCCCAGTATTGCTCTCCACATCTTGTTCTGTCTGATTTTACTATATTCTATTTTGTTTGATAATATCAAGTTTGAGCGTATAGACAACCACTTTGAAGGCCATAAGATTTATTATGATGGCCCATTATAGTTTGACTATTATCTTCTTTTGAAGTCTTGCAAGTTTTCCAGTGTAGGTTTTTTTGGTCTTGTCCTGTACGGTTTTGATCAATTCTATTATACCTGATGATATAGCAACTCTTTTTAAAAATAGCAAGAGGCACCATGGTAACCATTTTTGATCATCTGATATTCTATTTTTGCATCATGAACTATGCCCATCCTTCTTTTCTAACTGTCTCTGTTTTATTTAGTCATGTTAGGATTTATTCTCTTCAAAAAAATGTAATAAGAACTGTGGGAGTAAAAAAACTCAAAACGTGTAACAGTTATTGTAAAAAAGAGAGGAAAGGAAGGTGGTCTAAGGGATATAACTGCATGCTTGAGTGTGTAGGATGGAAAATCATATTACTCAGCTTTTGTTGGATCACTGAACAGAACCTTCTGCAATCTCACTGTATGAATGTCCACTTTATATGCTTTAATTTTATAATTTGGACAACTGTTTCTAAGATGACTGAAAGGGTTTTGGCCCAGATAGGACACTGTAGCCAGGAAAGCCACAACCGGAAGCAGGAAGCCCCATCTCCCCTGCCCCTAGGAAGTTACCTGTGATGCCATCTTCCCACCCATGGAAATTTACATAGGGCGCCAAACCTAAGACCAATGGACTACCTGTGTATCCCTAATGCCCGCCTTAGGTTCCACCCCAAACCAAGCCTATTTACAGGCCCCCATGCCACGTGTCCGCCGGAGAGATCACTGGACGCCAGCGGTGGGGGTGCCTGTCATCTCTCTCTGTGTTCTCAGAATAAAGGCCACTTTTTATTTTATATTTCTCATCTTTTGTTAATATTTTTCATCTTTTGGAAATAACCCTAGCAATGACAATATGTAACCTATTAACTAGTGATTTCTTACTGTATTTTTTATTGAAATTCTGTATTACTTGTACCCTTTTACTGCTTTGTTTTTTATTTCCTTTCTTCTCTTTAATTAAACAAATAATCAAACCTGGAATGGATATCTTTTATTTATTTATTTTTTTGGCTCTGGAGATCAAACTCATGACCTCACACTTGCCAGGCAGGTGCCTTAAGCCACTGAGCTAAATCCCCAGCCCACCAATGGATGTCTTTTACACCTTGTCATCTTCAGAGTAGTTGCCTCTGCTCTTGAACTTGATACCAGCAAGCATACCAAATGTGAATAAAATCAGTCAAGGCCAAATAACATTGAAACAATCCAGCTTCAAAGAAGATCAGTCATAGAAGACAATGTAAGTAATATAGGGATTCAGTTTTAGTTAATAGGAAATTAAGGATAATTACCATGGTATAACCTGCTATTTTTGGGTTATCTCTCTGTGCCCTCAAATCTAATATGAGTAGACAGACCAGAACAAAATATAACCAAACTATACAGAGCAACAAGACTACTGTAGCTTTTAAATCCTGATACACTTTTAACTATGTCCTCTGCCTTCTTTTTTTAGGCAATTCCTCACCTTTCTCCTTCTCAGGATACTATTATTCACTGTTCAGAGTGATATTAGTCTAGTCTCTTATGTTCCATTTCAGCATACATAAAGATAAAGACAGCTACTACAAAGACCATGAGACATTATGGTAGTCATTATTGACTTCCCCCAAATCAGTCTTGAAGATCAAAAAAGCTTGCATCATCCTGTAATTATTTCATTAGTTCTATAATATTCAGTATATATTCAATGTGTGTGAGGATGGCAACAACTATTTGGAAAAAAACTAGAGACAGTAAAATAGACAGTGTACATTTCCAGTGGACTTGCTTTGAAATCTGTGTTTCCTTAACTTGTTTCCTTATGAACTGTTTTGCTCTGTTTTGCTATGTTTAATCTTACCCTCTTTAAGAAAAAAAGTGTGTAGGACAGATAGGCATATTAATAACTTTTTGGTGGATCATTGAGGTGAACCGTGACAGTGTCATTATTTGAATATCACTTTGTATGCTTTAAATTTGTAACTTGAACAACTACTTCTAAGATGACAATATAATACTAATCATCTAGTGATTTCTTATGGTTTATTTTTCTGATATTCTGTATTATTTCTACACTTTTTTTTCTCATTAAATAAACAACATTACAATTCAGAAAATACAAAATTTAACTTCAAAAGACAAAATATTAAGTATGGAGGCACTATCCATACTTGAAAGTGAAAAGCCCATTTCAGTTTAGCATGTTTAATTACAAGATGCCATGTTGAAGCACAAAAACATCTAGATTAATAAATCTAGAGAGGTACAAGTGATTAACTGAAAACCATACAACATGTGCACCTAAGGAGAGCCCCACCACATATTTGTCATTTTTGGAATATTTGTGAAGAAATATTGATATCTAACTTCTGTATCGATTATTTCTTCAGGTCTCCTTGGGATTTTTAAAGTAAACTTAGATCTAAACTGTCTGAACAGTCATGCTTTTTCTATGTATTTAACAAGAAACATGGATTGCTATATTTCTCACATTGGTAATCCACATATCATCTCTGCCTAGTGAGCTCTTTCAGATATGTAACAATTGTCAAGTATGCTGAGAGTATTCCCATAACACAAAGGGTTTATCTCTTGTGTGAGTTTTTTTCATGTATTTCACTTACAATCTGGCTGCTGAAAGTGTCTCCACTTGCTTACATAGCCAGTGGTTCTTCCCAGTGTGAATTTTTTCATGTGTTTTGCAATGACTACAAGCAGTAAAAGCTTTGTCACATTGTTATACACATAGGCTTTCTCACCAGTGTGAAGTCATAGATGTATTTTACAAAATCCATGTGTGGTGAAAGCTTTCCCACATTCTTCACATACACACAGGGTTTCTCAACCATGCAAATTTTATAATGTATTGGACAATGAGCATTTCTGCAGAAACCTTTCCCACATTCCTAACATATGTAAGTTTTCTGCCCAGTGTGAAGATTTTCATGCATTATGCAATATATACCTGTACTGAAACCATTCTCATGATGCCTATATACACTGGTTTTATATTGAATGTGAACTTTCATGTTTCTTACAATCTCCCTGTGTTTTAAAAGCTTTCCCACATTGATTACACACATATGGTTTCTCTCCAGTGTGAATTCTTTCATGAACCTTACAATTTGCACGTGTGTTAAAAGCTTTCCCACATTGCTTACATACATATGGTTTCTCTCCAGTGTGAATTCTTTCATGTTCCTTACAACATCCAGGTCTGGTAAAAGCTTTCCCACATTGCTTACATGCATATAGTTTCTCTCCAGTGTGAATTCTTTCATGTTCCTTATAACGATCAGGTCTGGTAAAAGCTTTCCCACATTGCTTACATGCATATAGTTTCTCTCCAGTGTGAATTCTTTCATGTTCCTTACAACGATCAGGTCTGGTAAAAGCTTTCCCACATTGCTTACATACATAGGTTTTCTCTCCAGTGTGAATTCTTTCATGTTCCTTACAATGATCAGGTCTGGTAAAAGCTTTCCCACATTGCTTACATACATAGGGTTTCTCTCCAGTGTGAATTCTTTCATGAACCTTACAATTTGCATGTGTGTTAAAAGCTTTCCCACATTGCTTACATACGTAGGGTTTCTCTCCAGTGTGAATTCTTTCATGTTGCTTACAGTATCCCCATGTGTTAAAAGCTTTCCCACATTGCTTACATACATATGGTTTCTCTCCAGTGTGAATTCTTTCATGTTCCTTACAAAATCCAGGTCTGGTAAAAGCTTTCCCACATTCCTTACATACATAGGGTTTTTCTCCAGTGTGAATTCTTTCATGTATTTTACAGTTTGTCTGTGTGTTAAAAGCTTTCCCACATTGCTTACATACATATGGTTTCTCTCCAGTGTGAATTCTTTCATGTTCCTTACAACGTCCAGGTCTGGTAAAAGCTTTCCCACATTGCTTACATACATAGGGTTTATATCCAGTGTGAATATTTTCATGAACCTTACAATTTGCACGTGTGTTAAAAGCTTTCCCACATTGCTTACATAAGTAGGATTTCTCTCCAGTGTGAATTCTTTCATGTTGCTTACAACATTCAGGTCTGGTAAAAGCTTTCCCACATTGCTTACATACATATGGTTTCTCTCCAGTGTGAATTCTTTCATGTGCCTTACAACGTCCAGGTCTGGTAAAAGCTTTCCCACATTGCTTACATACATAGGGTTTGTCTCCACTGCAATATTTTTCATGGATCTGAACATCGTGGTGTGTTTCTGTTTCTTTCACATTCACATTACCTTCTGCATTACAAAGAAATACTTCTTTACACTGATTCCAAGATGTATGTCATAAGATTTCCCTAGCTTGTCATTTCTGGAAAGAAAAAATCACACATAGGATTTATAACCATATTACTAAGCTTTTTTTGAGAATTGAACAAAACTGTTTGCAGTCTCATTGTTTGAATCCCCACTTGATATGTTTCACTTTTGTATTTCATGACTATTTCTATGATCACCATTCGTAATCATCATCTTGCTATTTGTTACTGTTTTTTTTTTCACTTTGAATGCAGTATTATTTCTACTTATTTTGTCTTATTTAATCTTTCCTTATATTAAATTTAAAAAAAGAAAAATTCACTGCGAAATTGGTCTCTGTTTAATGACTGCATTAATATCAAGTTCTGTTTTTAATGCATGCTAAGAAATTCTGACCAAGAAGCAACAGAATGGCCTTGTAAGATATGTTGAAAACAACCATTCCCAAAAGACTGGTACACATTTGGAAATCTTTAAAGTTGGTAGTTTGAAATGCATAATCTTTACCTTCACTTTGGGAATGGGTACATATATGTATCACATGCAGATTATTCTCATATGTTTCCCGATCACAATCTTCCTTCTGTCCTTAACTTGTAGTTCCCTTTTCCATCTGGTCAGTCTTACTTTTCTCTAACAACTCTGTTTCATTTCTTTCCACATTTTGTATTTTGGTTTCTCCTCTAAAAGAAAGCCAGTGACCTTTTAGGTTTTATAGCTGAGTTATTTCACTGAATTGATGGGTGAAAGACCCATCTAATTCTTATGGCAAATGACATTATATTATTTATTTTTTGACATTATATAACACATTTTTTCCATTCTGGGCTGGGAATGAGCAACAGATATTAGCATAAATCTATAGCTTTTTAAAAATCTATTTTAAGAGATTTTCATAGATCATTAAGCTGTGAAGTTTGAACTTGAAATTGCCATTCTGCAAACAGATTTGCAAACCCTAGTGTGCTGGGTTTACAAGAATGTAAAATCACAGAGAGTCTATTAAAATTTTCCTTCTCCACAAATCCAGTGATAGATAGATAAGCTTCAAGGCCTGATCTGTCATAACTTGATCTGCTTTGTATATGACTAAGCATGTATCAGTATTTTATGCAGATTTTGAGATTTTAAAAATATCCAGGACAAGTATGAGCGGATCAATTTCTAGAGACAACTGCATACTGATGTTCAAAATGAGTGCACTAACATTCCACCAGCCTACTAAGAATATTAGTCAGAATCGCCGATTGTCTAGAGCATGGCTTGGAAACATGAGCACTCAGTTTTATTTCACATTCTATTGCAATCTTAACAATTGTTAGATAATGAAAGTGTTGTATTCACATGTATATATGGGTAGAAAAACTGAAGGCAGAATGTCATAACTCAAAGTGCATGCCTTTCGTACAGATCTATATGCAATGTCATACATTTTCATGATTTAATTCCCTCATATATATACTAGCTTATACATCTTTGGAGAATATTACTGACATTAAATTGAATGGTGCCTCATTTCTTTGGTGGTCATTTTTCTGCTGACTCACTAATTACTCAAGAACATTCCTCTCCTTGTGAGTGTGAATTACCTTAAGTATCTCCAGTAAATTTTGCATTCTTTTTCAGCTTCCTGGATATCGCCAAGTACTCCTGAATTGTAGACATAGAAATACCAGGACTCAGTTTAGTAATACATAAAAATTAATAGATTTTGTTTAGATTTATGATATAATGTGTCCAGGTCTGAGCTATTTTTAAAAATATTTTCATATTCTTTTTAACAAAACAGCACTAATGAGCAACAAACAATATTCTGACAGCATGAGTGCCAAAAAAGATTTCATCCTTACCTATTGCAGCCATGTTCCTAAAGATTTCACCCATCACATCTCTGTAGAGGTTCTTTTGAGATGGACTCAGCAAACTCCACTCCTCATTGCTGAAGTTCACAACCACATCCTCAAAGATCACCGCCTCCTAACGGATCATACATAAATTTCTCAAAGGAAGCTTGAAACCCCAGGTTTGCGATATCTTAAATTCTCTCCTACAAATCTGAATCAAAAGCAAAGTGTGGTGGTGCATATCTATAATCTCAGCACTCAAATGGCGAGACAGGAAGGCATGAGTGAGGTCAGGCCAATTCTAGGCTCTATAGGGTGTTCAAACCCAGCTGATATACATACAGAAAGCTTGTCTCAATAAAACAAAACTAAACTCAACAAATAAAGCCAAACAAAACAGCTGAATGAAGACTGATTTGTTCAAATTTAAATCTATGTCTTGGTCGTTAATTTTGTGTCTATATACATTTTTGAAGACAGCAAATTTGATACTAGATTGCAACTCACTGCTAATATAACAGCCAAATAGGAGCACTGATTCTTGTGCTGAGTCATGGCAAGATTCCCTGTGCTCTTTCTCTAAAGCAGAGCTCACAGTAAGAAGCCTGCAGCACCAGCAACCACAAAGCACAGAGGCAGATAAATGTCTCATCAATTGCCTTGGAAGCCAAGCAAGCACCTCCCCTCCGTAGTCAGTGGTGGCAGTCTGGAAAACTGCAGCCCTTCCAGGGGGATAACCAGCAGCAGCTCCTAAGATCAGTTCTATGTTGGAACTTAGGGCGCTGTGAAACCAAACAACCAGCCTGTCTCCCTAGTAAGCAACACTGAACCTACTGATGCACCACCTAGAATCAAACATCCCACTTCCCTACCCCTTTTCTCCTGTCACCCCACATTAGCAAATGGGAACCAGAAATCTGAGCATCTCCTGGGAAGTAGACCATAGCAAATAAGGGGGACTTCCTTCTACTATCTCCTTGAAGGAAAACGTTTTTATTATTGTTTCACTCTATTCTGATTAATGGTACTGCTCAATTCAATATTCTGTTTTGATAAGTTCTATAATGTTCTGCATTTCATCTCATTTTGATATATGTGATTAAAGAACAACTATGATAAAGATAACAAAATATACTGTGATACATATTACTGTTATCCCAGTAACCTGTTGTGAAGTTGTGTAACAATTTCACTGTGTGATCTTAGTTGACCTTAAGCTGCCTTGTTCTGTTCTATGTTACCAATTTCAAAATTAAATAAAAAATCTCAGTAATCACTTTGATAGACTACAGATGATGTCTCTTCAAATCTCATTTAGGCCAATGAGTACTTTGTTCTTAATATACTTAAGCAAAATTTTGAAACATGAATTTGGTTTCATAGAACAAAACATAAATAACATCAAATATGGTATATAAATAATAACTCAAGTGTTAGTGGAAAACAGCTGTATTTTAAAAATATGTATATAAAATGAAACCAGGCCCAAGCTGTAAATTAAACATCACTGTCACCAAGTGATCACTTTCAATTCAAATATAATAAATATATCTTGGGAGGCTGGTGAAGGATTTCTTCCTTGAATTTGGGGCTTTCCTAACTTACAGAGCTGTCTAAAATAGAAAATCCTGATTGAGGCACCGCACAGACAAAGTGAAACTTAAAAAGAGACTGCATAACACACCTTTGGTTAGTTTTAAAAAAATTATAGCCACACAATACAGAAAAATTCCAACAATATTCAACACTTTCTCAGAAACAATGTGGATATCATCCATACTACACAGAAAATATTTTCATAGTTGCGTATTTAGCTCAGTGTCATGAACACCTGCCTGGAAAGCATAGGTCATGCGTTTGATCCTTGGTACAAAAGAATTGAAAATTTCAGCTTCATGACAATGCGACATAATTAGAGATAATCAAATTAGATCTCAAGTATGGAACACAAAAATTATGGGTTGACAGGGATGTGGAATACTGATTGTTGCCAGAGCTGGTGTTGATCACCTCAATGAAGCAATCAGAACCCAATTTTACTTCACATTTACTCTAAGAACTACCTGACTTTCAGTGAAGACGCTCTCTGTTGTATGTCCTGCTCTTTGCTGCCTGCATTCTGTCAGCCACTTCCACATCTTTTCCACACTCCTCTGATCCATCCTAAGCATAAAACCCTTCATGCCTGACTATCGATATCACTGCAAAATTTCTATTTAGGGCTTCTCATTTACACCACTTAGATAAGTCCATTGTAGAGAATTTCCATATTTAAACTGTCTATTAACCAAGCTACTAAATCAGCTCTTAATTCAGAGGTGACACCCCTATTCCTTTCCATTCAGAAGGGTATCACGTGTATATGACCATGCAAATGTGTAAATTTTGGCATTTTTCGATGAGAATTTAACAAGTAGCCCTTTCTGGAATTTGTCCTTCACAAAATTTTACCCCGTCCTTGATAACACTTTCATATTTACTTCATTTTTCTCAGACTTCAAAACTCTAAGGCTGTTCTCACAAACCTAGTCTGTGAGCAAGGGTGCCACCTAAATAATTAAGTATGTTCAGAAATTATTTTGCACTGATCTGTATAATACACAGGAGTTCACCAGTTGTTTGGGAAGCCTTTCTCCGCTGAGGCACAGTACTACATATCTCTGAAATCTCAGACCTTTGTCACTACCTGTCATGAAGATGGAAATACGAGAACATACTATAAATTTAGGAGATCACTATAAATACAAAAAAGCCCAAGTTTAAGTTGAGCCATTGTGGCTATGAGGGCCTGCATTACATACATTAATAAACTCTGGACATTCCAGATCTGTTACTCTGCGGAAAGAGAGCGTAGACCTAGATCATTACTGCTCTACAAGCTACAAAAGCATCATAGTCAGGGTCTTCCCAAGCTCCGCCCAATGACTAAGATGGTGGACTTACAGGCTAGCAGTGAATTTCAAAGATGATACTTGAGTCTGCTGCTGTCATAGTGAAGCCAGGGTTCTGGGGACCCCAAATTACCCTTGCCAACAGC